TGGCTCATCTCCAACCCATCCCCAACTGGGGAGTATGCATTTTCCTGTGTGAGAAGAACAGGTTTAAAACCCACAGGCACTGTTGGGCATTGGGATATAGTGGTGAATAAAACAGACATTGTTGTATTAGTAGAATTTACTATCTAGTACAAGAGTGGGTAATAGATGGTCTTCAGTGTGGTAAAGTTTCAGTGGAAAGGTCAGTAATGGCTGGAGTAATCAGGACTTAACAGAAGGTATGAGAAGAATGGATAGAATTCCCTTTGGTAAAGAACACAAGATCATATTGCACATGAGGTGATAAATCAGTTAAGGTGCTGTAGCAGATAGTATTTCCAAAAATGGCTGCAATACTATTTCTGGCCCTATATACTCTTCCACAGCTTTGCCAGCAAGAGGTGGAGCCTATGTCCCCTCCCCTTGAAACTTTGTAACTGCTTCAATTCACAAAACATGAGTGGAAATGACAGTATGGCACTTTTGAGGCTAATTCCTAAAAGGCCTTATGGACATAAAGCCAGTTGCTAATATCATTTTTAATGGTGAAAGTTTGACTACTTTGCCCCCAAGATCAAGAACTAGGCAAGGCTCTCCATTCTTAACTTTTATATTCAACACTGTACTGGAAGTCCTAGCCAGTGCCAAAAGGCAAGGAAAAAAATGAGACCTATAGATTTAAAAGGAAGAGCTAAAGCTGTATTTGGTCAGAGACATGTTATCTATGTAGAAAATCCCAAAGCATCTACAAATAATAAAACTTCTAAAATTAAGTGAATTATCAGGGTCAGGTTATTGCACATCTCTATATGAAAATCAGTTGTTTTTCTTTATACTAGCAATCTCTGATGCATCATGCTAAGTTTCTTACACTTTCTCCTACATGTTCTAGCAAACTATCTGATCACCTACTCAAAGGGAAAATAGAAGTCTTTAAATAGCAATTACCTCAGCTTCCTGCCACCAAAACTACCACTCGCCCTCTCCCTCCTCATCACAATAGAAGTGACTGACAGGCCCTACTCTGTGTTCCTAGTGTTCCAACTCTCCCTGTCTCAGTACTGCACATGCTGTTCACATAATGCTTTTAACCCCACTTCTCTGAGCTAATTCATGCTAATCCTTCAGATTTTCACTTCAGCATCTCTTATTTGAAGCTCTCCCTATCTTCCCCTCTCCCCATTATTTAGTTTCTTAGCTGCTGTATTTCCCCCTTTATATCAGCCCTTAAACTGTAATTAATTTGTTGTGTATAATGTTGTTCTTAATTATTTCACAGTACTTGAGGTTGCAAAAAAAAAAGTCACTTGTTTTCCCTTCAAAAATAATTTAAATGTATTTGAAGAGCAGTTTAGCAAAGTGGACAAGTAGGCCACTTTCAAACATTTTAGGAGATCACTCTTTGTCTCCTTCTAGAAGAAATACCAACCAGAGGATATCTCTTGCTCTATTTAAATATTCCAGCAGAAATAAGCAAGCCACATGCTTTGTTGAAGGAAAATAGCACCATTTAATTTGCCCTCCTTTTTTTGCCTTCAGTTATCATTTTTATTAGTGATATTAAGAAGTTTGTTTTGCTAATGTGTCATTTTCTCCCTCAGTTTCCATAATAGCTGTGACTGAATTCAAGCAAGTATTGGAGTAACTAGCTCTGTCTTACACAAATTCTAACTAGCTCTGTCTCATTCTAATTCTAACACTGATGCCAAGTTGTTCCATATATTCATGCAAAAGATATAAAATGATGTCATTGTCTCTGTTTAATTGTTATGTATCAAAGTTCACTTACCTACAGCAAAATGAAATTGAATTACATACCATTAATAATTTTTTATAGTTACAATCATCAAATAACTATATTTTAGCTAGAGGTAAAGATTTATTTGACCTGTAACAATACTTAATATGTATTAATGCAGTTTTATTTATTTTAAGTATTAAAATGGCTGGTTGCCTATAAAAAGATGTGCTTGTTCCTGATTTTTACTTCAGAAATCCTCTGTAAACAGTGAAAGCCACATGGTGGAATCTCTACAAGAGGTGGAGACCTTTAAAAACATTCTACTTCCTGAGCCAGAATTCCACTGTAGTGCTTCATAGATCTTCAAGATCTGTGCCTTCCCTTGCCAAGAAAAACCACAATGTATTTTCCATTCTTCATGCTCATACAGTAAAACATTACAGCCTCAACTCTAGCTCTATCTTTTTGCTGTTAAGTTCTTTCCCCCATTCTGTTATTTCCGTATATGAGTACACAAATATATATGAAATAGCTATGCATATAAAAAGACTGGGTTTTTTATGTGTGTGAAAATAGAAATAACCAAAGGAAGAAAAGCAGGAGTTTTCCCCTCCCTCCAAAAAACCCAGACAGTCCAAACAAACACACACAAAAAATTTAGATTATGTACAGTTGGTTTCCATTCTTAAATAGAAAAATATGGCAAAACTATTTGGGTATATTTAATATGTCCTGATGTTGTAATTGCTGTCAGAGGAACAAAGGTCGTGGCTCATCATACCACAGATCAGACCATGACCTCTTACTTTGATTTGTGGTCTCTTTGGTACAGTGCATGAACAAGTGGTATACAAGTAGGCACATCTGGGTGAGACACCCCCTACCCTGGTGTTCTGGGTTTGAAACACTACAACCCCTTCTCTTACTCAAGGAAAAGTTTGTTAACTTAGGAGAAAGGGGAAACAAGTGAAATTAGACGTTCATCCCTGGTAACAGTGACTTTTTTTTTTAATCTAAAAATTTTATGTAAGAAAATGACCTCTTTTTGTCAGCTAAAGTAATTTCTTTGTCATTTTCTAATTATTGATTCCATTTTGAAAAAAATATTTTTTACAAAAGAAGCTCATTAGGTACACAGTTTCTCCATTTTTGATAATCAAATACATATTCAGGTACCAAGCAGAACTTGTAATCAACATGAAATAACCAGTGCTTATCATTCAGTTCTGTGAAGTTTCCTGAAGTGTTGAGAGTGGTTCCCAATAACTACTTTAATGGAACTGACACCTGTTTTTGAAAAATCTGGATGAGAAGAAAAATCCTCCAGTGCCCATATTATGACCTCATTCCTCTTGCCCATCAGTCAGTCTTATTTGTTTTATTTATAAAATGAGGATAATAAATTATTAGCCACTTAAAGGCAAGGATCTGAATAATAAGTTATTCTGGAATCTTTTCTAATTTTTATTCAGTTATTCAACAGATATTTAAATGCCAAGCACTGGGCTACATAAAAGGAAGGACAGATAATGGAATCTGCCTCAATAGGGTTTTACAATTTCATTCTTACATGTGATTCTGGTGTTATATTATCAATTAATTCATGACTTTATTATTGCATTTTATTCATATAGTATTGAATTTTACTGGCTTAAGTATTTGGCATCAAGACTTCTAGCTGCAGGGAAGCAAATGCTACCTTCTTTCCTCACTCAGTTTCAAGTAGAAGGATTTTTTTAAGCACAAAGATTTTTAGAAGACCAAAAAGAAATCTAGATATGAAGCAAATATAAGACCCTTAGAAATAATCTTACTACTTAGAAACCATTCATATTGTCACCTTCAAGATGTCAATTATTACTTCCTAGAATACTTTTTTCAGTTGAGTACAAGGGTTAATCTCTTTGGGGAGTAACCTTAATTGTCTAAAAATAAAAGTACCTCTGGTAATAAATAATTTGAACATGACATGAAGAAAAGCAATAAAAGGTATGTGAATCATGATCAACTTCTTTATATATACATATATATATATATATAGAATATACAAAGGTAGATAAAATACATCTATTACATAGTTTTCTGGGGTTTGTTATTACCATCGTATTACCACATATTTCTGTATACACATTCACATAAACCCTTAGGTTTGTAATTTAAATGATAACTTTTGTCTATTTGATCTAAGGATATATTAGCACCTAACATTAGAATCTAGGGTTCTTTATCATTGGGTGACACATAGTTTAAAATTATCCCAAAATAGTAACACCTAAGTTTATAAACATCGTTACAGATGTTTCTAAAAATGACATAGTCATATTCACAACTACTGTTTTCATTAATAATGCAAAACTAAAATCTTGACAGTTTATTAACAGCAAATGATAGAATTTGTCCCCAGTAGATTTAATGTCCAAATTAAACATCCTAAAGTATCGAAAAGGCATTATCTAAAAGTATTCTTTTTTTTTTTTAACCTGTCGCCTGAACTTGCAGAGACCGTGTAATGGTACTGAAGGAACTTTATAGATGAGATAATCTTGAGAGCAGAAAGGGAAGTTTGTGATGCATATGGCTTATATAAGAAACAACGTAAAACATTTTTCGGTATTCTAGATGTGTAAATGATGTGAGGCTATAATCAGAATAAGCCTCAACAAAAGAAGCAACTGATTGTTTTAGAATTATAGTGGATGAAAGGAAAATGATGCAGGCAATAAAGAGGATGGCTAAACACCTGAAAGAATTATAAATCTCTGTTATCCAATAGGAAATTATTAAAAATAACTTTAGAATGTATAGTCATGTTGGCTAGACTTTTAAATTTGCTTAGAGAGCTGTAAACTAACGAGAACTTCTCAGGGTTCAAAAAGGTAGCTTTCTAAAAGATGAATGTGTATTCTTTTAATCAGTGAAAGCAAAAAGATTTTTTAGATCATTTGACAACAATTTATTTATGATGCAGGATTTATTTATGATGCAGACAACTAAGAGAAGTCAAAAATGGTGATAAGATTTTATATGTCTGAAATAGGGTGAGTGAAATTGATAAGTAGGTTTTATAAAAACCCATAGTGTCTTTGTGCTTAGAATTCTCTGGCTCTTAATTTTGGTTTAAAGATATTAGCAAAATTGCCAAGGCTTTATTTTCTTATAAATATTTAGTTGTTTGTTTTGTCTTTTAAATGATTTTCTTTCTTTGTGGAAGTTGAATTTTACCAAGGAATATGAGTAATAAATAGTTTCTTCTTTGCTGTAGGTAAAACTTCAGTGAAGAAGCTGACAAAAAAGGTAAGCAGTATGTGGGGGAGAGAGTTCTTTCTTCCTTTCTTTTTGTTTTTTTGGTGACATAGAAAATGAACTTTTATAAGTTAAATTTAAAGATTTTAATGTGTATTCAAAGGATATCGAGGATATACTGGCAGGAATCCAACCAGCTCGTTGTGGATCAACCTTTTTTAGAGACCTTGGCGATAAAGGTAATTTTGATTTGTTAAATTTCTGTTTACTTGTTTTATTTAACCAGGGTATTGTTAAGGAATTGTTTTGAGGTCTGCAACCATATAGTAGAGAATATACAGTAGAGAACCAATGTAGAAAATGTTTTAATGCCATGTTCTTTAATAGATGTTTTTAAATCATAATAAAATACTCATTAAGTAAGAAATAACTTTCTCAAATTCTCTGAGAGATTACAATTTAATTATTAAAACATCTATTTTAATTAAAGCCTGGGGAGGAGGAATGTGGCAAGAGAAGACCTCAGAGAGATCCAGAGGAACACCAACATTTAAGGGAGTAGAAGAGGAAGCAGTGCTCATGGAAGAGACTAGGGCAGAGTGATCAGAGAAGTGGAGGAGAATCAGGAGAATGCTATCACAAAAGCCAAGAGGAGAAAGTGTAAGGGAAAGAGAAAATTGAGTTCAGGCCACTTGAGAGACATAGATGTGAGCAAAGGGATTTAAAGGTCAGTAGCTGAGGGCAGACACAAAAGGCCAGAGGAATGTTGGTTAATGTTAGATGAAGAGACTTGAGCACACTTCTTATCGATGAGAGGGAGAGATATATAATACAATATAATTATTATATATATATATCATATACCAAATATATAGTATATAAAATATAAAGGAAGTATGAATGGGACAGAATCCTGGAAAATGTGAGAGAAGGGATTGTCTTCACAGCAAAAATGGAAGGATCAGCATTCCACAGGATGCATAGCTTTTTAAGTAGGAAAGGATGAACAGGTGGGTATTTATTTATTTTTTTATCTATCTTTTTTTTTTAACATATAATGTATTATTTGTTTCAAGGGCACAGGTCTGTGATTCACCAGTCTTACACAATTCACAGCGCTCACCATAGTACATACCCTTCCCAATGTCCATCACCCAGCCACCCCATCCCTCCCACCTCCCTCCACTCCAGCAACCCTCAGTTTGTTTCCTGATATTAAGAGTCTCTTATGGTTTGTATCCCTCTCTGGTTTCATCTTATTTCATTTTTCCCTCCCATCCCCTATGATCCTCTGTCTTGTTTCTCAAATTCCTCATATCGGTGAGATTATATGATACTTGTCTTTCTCTGATTGACTTATTTCGCTTAGCATAATATCCTCAGGTTCCATCCACATCATTGCAAAGGGCAAAGACATTTGAGAACAGCTGAGTATTTATAATACAGGTATTTGCAAATCTAGTAGCAAGAGGTAGAAACAGGTTGTTCTGGATAGCTTTGATTTTCTTTATAAAATAGGATGTATGGAGAAAGAAGGTTTGAAACAGCTTCTGTGATAAGGAAAGAGACCAGACCAGAGAAACATAGAGTTCTAGGAAGCTCTTAAGAGATCAGAAGATAGTGTAGATCATGAAAGAAAAATCACCAGTCAGTGCAATTGTGTGATGATCATCCTGCAGGCTAAATGTAGGAATAGAAACATTGGGCAGTTGTACTGGATTTAGAATTTTGCTTAGCATATGAGTGGAAGAAGAGTCACAGACTAGGGAGTTAAGGCTATTGAGGGCAAGAGAGGTTTTAAGTAATGAGCCATGAAATCTAAGCAAGATAATAGAGAAGAAAATAGAATAGTAAAAGTAAAAGGGAGATGAAAAGAAGAAAGTGGGACAGTCAAGAGAGAGCTGCCAGTGGGTTGAAGAACAGGTGTAGTAGGAGTCCAAGAGCAGAAAAGAACTTGCGGTCATAAAGCATTTAGATTTGCAGTTTGAGATGAAGCAGTTCCAGCTGATTTCAGGGCTCCAGGTGTGGTCCTGGAATTAGATGGCTAAAGCAGAAGTAGGTTGCATAGTTAACATAGTGCAAGTTCTCAAGGATCTGAGAGCTAGGGTATTGTCAGAAAGACAGTGAACCAGGTACAAAAGTCTTTAGTGACTGAAAGATGAGGAAAGGGAACTTTGGTAGATGACCACTAAGAAGAAAAATAAAAGGTGGCCTGGCTGGATGGCATTAGCCTCAAAGACATGGAGATTTTTATAAGAGGTTAGAAGAGTAAAGGTCTGGAATTAGCATTGAAGTAGAAAAAAATGAATAACCTCCATTTCAGAAGTCTGCAGAGGTACCAGTACTCTTAGTAGAGAGATCCAGGTTTGGGATAAGGCAAGACGACACATACAATGAATAGGTTAAAGATGTGTACTGTGGAAAGAGAATTCAGAGAGCGTGGTAGGAAAGCTTGGGTAGAAGTAGAGGAGTGGGAGGTCAGTTGAGCCAGGAAAGATGAAGAAAGACCAGCATGCAGATGTATAAACAAAGAGGATAGATACCATTTTGGAAAGGGAGATGAGGCTGCTAACGATGGTAGGACATAAGCCAGAGAGGTACACAGAGCCTAAATCATATATCCCTTTACAGGACATATTTAAGAGTTTAGACCTTATCCTAAGAAGAGTGGATTGCCATTGAAAAGTAAGAAAGTGACGAATCAGATTAGAACACTCACTCTAGCAGCTGGGTGGTGAACGGATTGAGGAGAGAGCAAAAGAAACAATTAGGAGATTGCATTAACAGCAAGGGGTTATACGCTGGAAAAGAAGTAGTGGAAATGGAGAGAAGAGTATAGATTTGATAGGTAGTTCGGTTATAGAATTGGTAGGACTTAATGATTGGGTATGAGAGGGGAGGAAGAAAAAGGAATTGTGTATGGTACCCAAGTTTCTGGTTTGATCAGCAAGGTGAATGTGCCATTCACCAAGATAACATAGATCATAGGGAAAGGAATAAGTAGAGGGGAGGGAAGGGCAGGGAATGAGTTCAGTTTAGGACCTACTGAGTTCAGATTTAAGAATTGTCAGCCATCTAGGGGCACCTGGGTGGCTCAGTCACTTGGGCTCAGGTCATGATCCCCGGGTCCTGGGTTTGAGCCCCACGTCAGGCTTCCTGCTCAGTGGGGAGTCTGCTTCTCCCTCTCTCTCTGCCCCTGCTCATGCTTGCTCTCTCTCTCAAATAAATAAAATCTTAAAAAAAAAAAAAGAATTGTCAGCCATCTAAATGGCACTTGAAGCCACAGTTGCAGATGCAACAATGTCAGAAGCACTGAGGAGAAAAGAGGCCCTGAGATAAAACAGCTCATTTTAAAGAACGCACAGAAGAAGAGAGAGGGGCCCTCCCTGAGAAGGAATGGTCAGTTAGGGACTCACCAGAGGAGTGACCTCCCCAGTGCTTTGCTGTAAGTGCTTCCAAAACAAATGCACATAATCAATAACAATTTTAATGGCGACAAATACTTAGTGAAGGCTTCCTATGTATCAGATATTGTACCAAGCCTCTTACATGTATTACTACATTTAATCCTCACAACATACCTTTGAGGAAGCTACCTTCATTTCATACCCACATTTTATAGCTGGGTTAACTGAAGCACAAAGGGGTTAAGTAACCTGCCCAAAGTCATATACAGGTAGTAAAAGCAATTTACAAATAGCATTTAGCGGAAGAAGAGTTAAAATGGCAGAGTAGTAGCAGGATCCTATGTTTGCCTTGTCCCTTGAACACAGCTAGATAAATATCAAATCACTCTGAACACCCAAGGAATCAATCTGAGGACCAAGAGAACAAACTGCACAAACTAGAGGGAGAAAAGAGGCCACATAGTGGAAGGTAGGAGGTGCAGAGACATGATTTGGGGGAGAAAAGAATAGCGGATGCTACAGAGGGGAGGGAGCCCTGATCGTGGAGGGAGGTGGAAGAGAGAATGCACACATAAGAGCAAACAGGAAGCGTGCAGGGGATTGCACAAGAAAAATGCTTCCCCACCACCATTCACTAGGAAAATGAGAGGGGCTGATTATTACAAGTTTTTACAAGCAGTGCAACTCAAAGACTGAAGTTTTAGAAGTCCATTGAGCTTGGCAAGCATATTGGTGCTCCTGTGAAGAAAGAGGGCCAGAGGCCCAGGACCAGACAGTGTGGTTTGAGGATCCCCTGGGTCACACTGGGAGAGACAGTTCCCCTTCTGCTCTAGTGGAAATAGGATCTAGCCTCTTTTAACAAGCAGACCAAAACACACCTAATTAAAACTTGCTACACACTGGACAAGGTCCAAATTCTCCCCACAGTAGGCAAGGAGAAACTGCACAGGACTGACCTGAGGGAAAGAGCAGCCAAAACACAAAAGCAGAGTACACACAGCATACACCAGAGACACCTCCCAAAATGCCAGGCCATGGACAGTATATGACCTCTTCTTAATATAGTCATTACTCTCAGGAGCAGAGACTATCACAGGCTTTCCTAACACACAGAAGACAGAGACCTAGACAAAAATGCCAAGATGGAGGAATTCATCCCAAAAGAAAGAACAAGGAAAGGTCACAGCCAGGGATCTAATTGAAACAGATCTAAGTAAGATGCCTGAACCAGAATTTAAAACAACAATCATAAGGATACTAGCTGGGCTTGGTAAAAGCATAGAAGACACCAGGGACTCCCTTACTACAGAGATAAAAGACCTAAAAACTAGTCAGGTCAAAATAAAAAATGCTATAACTGAGATGCAAAATCCAACTGGATGTAATGACCACAAAGGTGAAAGAAGCAGAAGAATGAGTAAGTGATATAGAAGGTAAAATTATGGAAAATAATGAAGCTGAAAAGAAGAGGGAAAGAAAAATAATGAATCACGAATGTAGACGTAGGGAGCTCAGCGACTCCATAAAGCATAATAATATTTGTACCATAGGAGTCCCAGAAGAAGGTGCAGAAGGTTTATTTGAGGAAATTATTTTAAAAACTTCCCTAATCTGGGGAAGAAAACAGACGTCCAAATCCAGGAGGCACAGAGAACCCCCGTCAAAATTAACAAAAGCAGACCAACACCAAGATGTATCTTAGTAAAATTTGTAAAATACAGAGATAAGGAAAACATCCTGAGAGCAGCAACGGAAAAGAAATCCCTGATTTACAAAACAAGACAAATAAGGTTAGCAGCAAACCTATCCACAGAAACTTGGCAGACCATGGG